TGAGAAAGCCCCGCCTCTTCATCTTCGACCAGCCCCAAACCTCACATGAATGAAACCAGCTTCTGAGAGGGAGAATAAGATTGTATATATATTGAATGTGATTTTTATATATATAAAATCTATATATATATATGAAGTGAAGTGAAGTGACATGTGGCCAAGTATGGTGACCCATACTCAGAATTAGTGCTCTGCATTTACCCTTGCATTTGATTATGCTAGAATATGAAGTATGAAATCACATCATCTCCTTTTCTGTAAAAATATAGTATTTTACACTGTTTATGACAATCTTGAAAATTGGGTATCTCTGCCAGATATTGTTATGGTATATTGGTTGTTACATTAACAATATCATCCCTAAATGAATCTGAAACAGTTTTGCCGATGATTATAATTAAGCAGTGAATGCAAAGAACCTTTTTGTTTAACGTAAACCATTTGATAAGTTATAATTACTTTTTTTTTTTACTGTACACTGAATAAAACTTTATGAAGTTATTGTGTTTGTAAATGCACTTATTCAGATACCAATATCTAGGAAAAAGCACTATTGAAAATTCCCTAAAATAACAATTTTTATATAAATAACGGCAATACATTAGAATAAATGGAAAGGCAACAGCTGGACAAATTGCCAAATCTTTAATTGAATTATTAATTGAAATGAATAATATATAATATAAATTAATTTTGTGTTACTGATTATCATATTTACATTTATCAAATAAATCATTATAATAATTTAAGAGGTAAGGCTTTTGTGTAACTGAATATCAGTAAACCAAACAAAAATCAATATCTTTATAATAATTTAAGAGGTAATTTAAATGGATATATTAATAATAATTAGTTTTGCATAATAATATAATATTAGTTGTTTTTTTTACATTTTAATTTTGTGTTACTGAATATCAGTAAACCAAACAAAAATCATTATAATAATTTAAGAGGTCATTTAAATTGATATATTAATAAATAATACAATATTTATTTTATTCATTATTAATGTTTTGTAAAATAATATTATAATATATATTGTGTTTTTATATATACAATTTAATTTTAACATCATATATTTTATTTTTTATTATCTACATAATATTATAAAAAATTATATATATATTTATTCTTCTCAGAACACTGAATAAAACTTTCTAAAGTTGTTGTGTTTGTAAATGCACTCATTGAGTTGTCAATACCTGGAAAAAAGCACTCTGGAAAATTCCAAAAAATAATTTATTCTCGTATAAATAACAGCAGACAGATGGCATTTGAAATAAATTAGACAATAAATAGAAAGGCATATTGCTCAATAGCGTGACGATGTACTGCAGACTATTTGTGTTGCCGATTATGTTGCTGATGCTGATCGCCGGAACTCTTTTGCATCTTCAATAGTAACCAACCTCCCAAATCTAGACTGACAAACATCTACAGAATGAAAAATTAAAAACACTGATATATCATGTGAAACTAAAAAATTGCAACTAAACTATCGCCGACACCATATCAACCGATAATCTCTGTGAACGTCATATAAATCAAATAAATAGTAGTAAAAGGTTGTGCTTCAGTGAGACAGAGAGTGATATTAAAGGGTTAGTTCTCCCAAAAATGAAAATTCTGTCATTAATTACTCACCCTCGTGTTGTTCGAAACCTGTAAGACCTTCGTTTATCTTCGGAACACAATTTAAGATATTCTTGAAATCTGAGGGCTCTCTGACCCTCCCATAGACAGCAAGGTAACTACCACGATCAAGGTCCAGAAAAGTACCAAGATGATCGACATCAGTGGTTCAACTGTGAGGTTACGAAGCTACGAGAATACTTTTTTGCGCAAAGAAAACAAAAATGACCACTTTATTCCATATTTTCGTCATGACGTCATCACGCCGGATCTGGGTCAGCGCCGCCACACACTCGCATCCACAAGTGACGCAGTAGAGATGAAAATGTGGAATAAAGTTGTTATTTTTGTTTTGAGAATATGGTATTTTGCATGTAAACGAGGAAAAAAAATCACATTCCATGATATTTAAAAAAAACAACATGGGTGACATTGTACAAATGAAAAGTTCTTTGTTCTTCATTTTTATTCTGCTGACACTTTTTAGTCATTAAAGTGAAGGCAGATTTGTTTAATCGTAATATACAAAAGAATGGACTGGCTTTAAAACTGAAGTGTAATTTTATTAATTTTTTTTTAAATGTTAACATACTTCCCAAACTTAATATGCAAAGACTAAAAGTCACTGGAAAGTCGGAACACTGTGTCTATGTTTGTTTGTCTCAACCAATCAAGTGAGATTGGGGCGGGGCTTTGTGTTTAGCCAGCCAATGGTAGATTAGGGGCGTGTCTAAGCAGCCTGTATGAAAACAGTCATTATTTGATAAGTTGCATTTTAGTGATAAAAGTGATGCTGCTGGTGCAGAAGTTGCACGTCATCATCTTGAGGCTTTGTTGTCACACTGGCTAATATTCCTGCATGAACATGAAATATGAGTGAATGTTGTTCAGACTGACAGGATGATGTAATTAGTGCTCGACTGCTCATTATTGGGCAATACTGATACTGATGTCTATAGAGCAGGATGGGCTCATGTATATATTACAGTATAATAGTAACAAATAAGATGTACACAACAGATGAATTTAAAATCAATACTTATTTTACATTATACTTAATATTAAATATTTAGAAACAGAAAATGTGTGTGTGTAAAAAAATGTTAATTGTATATGTCTATAACTAACACAACCGTGTGTAATGCAGTGTAAAGAAGAGCGAGAGATGAAGAGGACATTGTGTATTACAGACAACACAATGTATATAAATCAGCAAACATTCAACATAATTTCCCCGAACACACAGACGAGTACAGACTGAGTTCCGTTACGCCTGAGAGGACTGTTGTGTGTAAATGCAGACAGTCTTCACTGCTGCCGGACGATCAGTGTGCCCTTGAGATGGTAAACAGGGGCTGTTACTATAGTAAAAATATGAATTACACCTTAAAGTCCGCTTGCATTTGATTATGCTAGAATATGAAGTATGAAATCACATCATCTCCTTTTCTGTAAAAATATAGTATTTTACACTGTTTATGACAATCTTGAAAATTGGGTATCTCTGCCAGATATTGTTATGGTATATTGGTTGTTACATTAACAATATCATCCCTAAATGAATCTGAAACAGTTTTGCCGATGATTATAATTAAGCAGTGAATGCAAAGAACCTTTTTGTTTAACGTAAACCATTTGATAAGTTATAATTACTTTTTTTTTTTACTGTACACTGAATAAAACTTTATGAAGTTATTGTGTTTGTAAATGCACTTATTCAGATACCAATATCTAGGAAAAAGCACTATTGAAAATTCCCTAAAATAACAATTTTTATATAAATAACGGCAATACATTAGAATAAATGGAAAGGCAACAGCTGGACAAATTGCCAAATCTTTAATTGAATTATTAATTGAAATGAATAATATATAATATAAATTAATTTTGTGTTACTGATTATCATATTTACATTTATCAAATAAATCATTATAATAATTTAAGAGGTAAGGCTTTTGTGTAACTGAATATCAGTAAACCAAACAAAAATCAATATCTTTATAATAATTTAAGAGGTAATTTAAATGGATATATTAATAATAATTAGTTTTGCATAATAATATAATATTAGTTGTTTTTTTTACATTTTAATTTTGTGTTACTGAATATCAGTAAACCAAACAAAAATCATTATAATAATTTAAGAGGTCATTTAAATTGATATATTAATAAATAATACAATATTTATTTTATTCATTATTAATGTTTTGTAAAATAATATTATAATATATATTGTGTTTTTATATATACAATTTAATTTTAACATCATATATTTTATTTTTTATTATCTACATAATATTATAAAAAATTATATATATATTTATTCTTCTCAGAACACTGAATAAAACTTTCTAAAGTTGTTGTGTTTGTAAATGCACTCATTGAGTTGTCAATACCTGGAAAAAAGCAAATTCCAAAATTCCAAAAAATAATTTATTCTCGTATAAATAACAGCAGACAGATGGCATTTGAAATAAATTAGACAATAGGCATATTGGCATATTGCTCAATAGCGTGACGATGTACTGCAGACTATTTGTGTTGCCGATTATGTTGCTGATGCTGATCGCCGGAACTCTTTTGCATCTTCAATAGTAACCAACCTCCCAAATCTAGACTGACAAACATCTACAGAATGAAAAATTAAAAACACTGATATATCATGTGAAACTAAAAAATTGCAACTAAACTATCGCCGACACCATATCAACCGATAATCTCTGTGAACGTCATATAAATCAAATAAATAGTAGTAAAAGGTTGTGCTTCAGTGAGACAGAGAGTGATATTAAAGGGTTAGTTCTCCCAAAAATGAAAATTCTGTCATTAATTACTCACCCTCGTGTTGTTCGAAACCTGTAAGACCTTCGTTTATCTTCGGAACACAATTTAAGATATTCTTGAAATCTGAGGGCTCTCTGACCCTCCCATAGACAGCAAGGTAACTACCACGATCAAGGTCCAGAAAAGTACCAAGATGATCGACATCAGTGGTTCAACTGTGAGGTTACGAAGCTACGAGAATACTTTTTTGCGCAAAGAAAACAAAAATGACCACTTTATTCCATATTTTCGTCATGACGTCATCACGCCGGATCTGGGTCAGCGCCGCCACACACTCGCATCCACAAGTGACGCAGTAGAGATGAAAATGTGGAATAAAGTTGTTATTTTTGTTTCTTTGCACAAAAAAGTATTCTACAGTTGAACCACTGATGTCACTGCTTTGTCGATCATCTTGGTACTTTTCTGGACCTTGAACGTGGTAGTTACCTTGCTGTCTACGGGAGGGTCAGAGAGGCCTCAGATTTCATCAAAAATATCTTAAATTGTGTTCCGAAGATGAACGAAGGTCTTACAGGTTTCGAACAACCCGAGGGTGAGTAATTAATGACAACATTTTCATTTTTGGGTGAACTAACCCTTTAACCTCTCGTCTGCCAGACTGGTTTAGCTGTGTTAAGCGTCACACTGGACGTGATTACCCGGATCTCCATGTGAAGGATGAGCTGCTCTGTTACAACACCTCAGTCCACAATGTCCTGCTCTAGATCGTGGCGTCCAGCATCTCCAGGAAGAGTTTGTGCATGGGCACGCGCCCGTCCGTGTGCAGCCGGCTGAAGCAGCGCACGGCTCTGTGTGCCGTCTGACGCAGCAGCGGGAGCGTCATGAGCAGGCGCCCCGCGCGGTGAGCTTCGGACGGCCGCTGGCTGCTCTCATAGTCCTGCAGGGCCTCGTGGAGCGCGTCCTGGAAGCGCTGAACGGCGTCTGCTCCCTCCACGTTCTCTGCGTCTGAAAGAAAGAAACCATCGGCAAGGTCATACGAGGCTCTTGGGTGTTTGAGCCCAGTGTTAAACCCTCTGTTTGTTATCCATTGTTGATGCTTAATGGACTAGCCAAGGTCTATCTGGTTACGCTCTTTAGGTTTTTCGGTGTCGTCTGACAGTAAACGGCCTGCGGGTCAGACGCGAGATGCAGCTAATGGTGCGGGTTCGGATGCATTGATCTGAGCTCTGAACTGCTCTATCCATATTGATTGGTTTTTCTTGGCCAGAGACTGAAAATGCGAGCTAACATGAAGTAGAAAGAGTTCCTGTCACACAGACCAGATACAGACAGGGTTTGAGCAATCCATGAAGACTTCTTAAACAGCATCAATATTACATAATGAATTAACATATAACCTCTTCATACATGCACCACAGTCAAAAATGTTGACACACTAAAGACTTTGCTTCGATGCTTGAGAATTAGTTTTGTGTAATAATACAATATTTGAATAATGAATATATAAATATTTAATTTAATCTATATATATATATATATATATATATATATAATTTTTTTTATGTATCAAGCTTAAACTGTAATAATTTAAGAGGGTATATTAACAAATAATATATTTTTAATTCATTATTATTATTAAATAGATTTATTTAATAATAAAATATTTTAATAATGAGTTGATATACTGTATATCATTTATAATATGTAATATAATATAACATACATTTTTCATTAATTTTATTTGACTGATTATCAAGCTTTATAATTTTTATAATTTAAGAGGGTGTATTAATAAATAATATAAGATGGCATAGTAATATACATTTTTTTATCAATAGTTTTGTATATTAATATTATAATATAAGTGTATGTATTTTTATAAATAATATAATGAAACATAATATGATTTTATTATCCATTATCTATTCTCGTTCTCTCTCTCTCTCTCTCTCTCTCTCTCTATATATATATATATCTCAAGCTTACAGTTTAATAATTTAAGAGGTAATGTAAGAGGTTTATATATAGATATACCTGAGTTGGCCAGAGCCATGGCTTTGAGAGTGAGCACCTCCTCCTGGTTGAGGCCCATCTGCTGGTATTTGGAGGTCAGGTGTCTCAGAGCCGTGTAGAGATCATGCAGTCCTGCGGCTCGACACTGGCTCTCGTTCAGTCGCAGGTTCTCCGCAAACTGAAGCTCGTCAGCCGAACCCTGAGATCGCCAAACCACGTTCAGCACCAGCGTCTCCATCCAGCCGCTCTGGAGCAGCGCCATCTGATCCACCAGCGAGAGGCCAGAGAAACCTGCCAAACACAGCCAGCACACCGCAGGTAACTAACTTCAGCACATCTGTGTGTCGAGTATAAAAGCAGTAAAGCCCCAGTGGCTGTGTACCTGGTATGTGTTTGGCCCAGCCGATCATAACCAGCAGCTCCCTGTTTAAGAGGTCACATAAGGACAGCAGCGTTTTAAGGTCGCTGTCAGGGGTCACGGGGTCAGGGGCGGCTCTCAGAGGAGCCGGTTCAGATACGAGGAGCTGAGAGATCACTTTGTTTCCTAGAAAGGAAAAGATGAGGATGTTTTATTGATGATGTTAAACCCTTAATCAGGTTAAATCCTCAACTCATAATCCACTGACCACAGTCTCTAACGCTGGGCTTCATGCTCAGGTCTGAAGGTATTTTTGTTAATATAAATCATTTCGAAATGATCTGCAACTCGAATAAAGGCTGTTTTAATGGATGTTAGTATGAGTGTGGTGGGACTCACGGATCGGTTTGCTGGGATGAGAGTAATGTGTTTTGGTGAAGAGAGAGAGCGCTGAATCCACTCTGTGCTTGTACTTCTGTCGGCCTCCTCTCATGCGGTCCATACATGCATTTGAGGTTATTAATGAATTACTTTTTAGGTTATTGAAGTTATTAGGCCATGTAGTAGAAACACTGAATTATGCAAAACTATCACAAACTCCTTGAAAGGCAATTATTGCACAGCTTTAAAACATCATGCCAGCAAGCAGTTGAGATTAGAAACAGTATTTTTAAAGATTTGTTTTTTTTTTTAAGAATTTCGTAAGCATTGCATAGTGATTAAATACTGTACTGCATATTTATGTTATATATATATATATATATTAGTGATATATACATTTCTAGCTTTCATTAGTAAGTCCATATGCAATAATGAGCTTAATAAATAAATAATTACATAACATATCAACTTTTTTTTTTTTTTACTTATTTAAGTTCATACTAACTTCCATTGAAAGTCCTATGAACATAGTAATGATGTTTTGTGGCTGCGGTCGTTACCCTGAATGGTTCTTTTGAAGAAAGCCTTGCACGCCTCACACGACGCGACGCCGTAGTGATAGCCGGACGCGAAGTCTCCGCACACCAGGCACAGGCGCTTGGGCCCCGGGTTCAGGGACGGGATGTAGTCGCAGCTCAGCAGGGACTCTGTGTGACCGACGGGCTGGAAGAGAGCCGCAGCGCTGCTGCTGGAGATGGAGCTGGAGCTGACCGGGGAGTCCGGGTTCAGAGACGGGTTCCCGGAGAAAACGCTGTAGCCGCTGCTGTCCGACGCGCTGCCGGGGCTGAACGGTGTCGCGCTGCTGTCCAGGCCGAACGAGGGGCTCCGCGGGGCGGCTTTGAGCGGCGCATCGGTCGGGGACGGAGGGTCATCAGAGGTGGACGGATCCAAAAGACTGATATGAGGTGGAGCGAGTTTAAAAAGTGTTAGTTTGCCTTACAACTACATTTACACTTATCTAGGCTACAGAGGTTTAAAGTGTAGTCATACATAATCATGACTTTTTAACAGATCGTTAATGTGATATACAGTATGTAGACTATTTATGCATATTAATTTTTCAACGTAGACTGCATGACAACCTGTTAAGCAACACAATATCTATCAATGCATTTGAGGTTATTAAATAATTACTTTTTAGGTTATTGAAGTTATTAGGCCATGTAGTAGAAACACTGAATTATGCAAAACTATCACAAACTCCTTGAAAGGCAATTATTGCACAGCTTTAAAACATCATGCCAGCAAGCAGTTGAGATTAGAAACAGTATTTTTAAAGATTTGTTTTTTTTTTTAAGAATTTCGTAAGCATTGCATAGTGATTAAATACTGTACTGCATATTTATGTATGATATATAATGAATGCAATGACATGCAATCTTCAAACAGGCTTGTGTCACCATAATTACACACCACAAACGTTTCAGCCCATTAAAACTTGAAAATGAAACTTAACTACTGACATTTTGAGTCAAATCAAAGAGTTGCAAAACTTACACCAAAACTACATTTTGCTTTTTAAAAACTCTCTCAATGTAATTACTAATGAGAACTTTGAGCTGAAACCGTGCCATATAACACATATGACAAGAGCACACTTTCTACAGAGTTTAGGTATAAGACTGATGTATAAAAAGACATTTAACTTAGGAAGGGTAATAGTCCTGCTTACTTGTGCTGGTTTAGAAACTGGAAGTTGTCACTCAGGCAAAACGTCTTCAGGTCCATCACTGCAGTTGCCCAGGGATTGTGTGTGAGAAATGTCTGAGATGAAGGGAGGAGGGCGAGAGGGAATGGAGCTGCACGCTGAGCTGCAGGTTTATGTAAGTGATGCGCTGCGGTGGGCGGGTCGGGCGTCTAATCCAGATCCATGCTGATTAAAACCCCGATGGGCTCTCATAACTGACAGCTCCACTGCAAATCACTTCATCAAGGCCAGTTTCTCATAAAGCACCGTATTTACAGAAAGTTTGCTAGTGGGCTTTAATACACGATGAACCTGTGCAGAGATGCCTTTTCATCATTTTTACCAAATTTGTCCATTTTCCCCAATTTTAATCTATTTTTCCACAGTGACCGTGACCCTTTGTTGTATGTAAATAAATATAAAGATATTCCTTATCTGCAGTTGGCTGTGAACACCAACAAACCTCTCCCGCCGCATCAAATCTGCTTCATTTCCTTGTTGCTGCCTCCGATGTTGATGCTCAAAACAGTCTCCAATTTGAGTTATTTGTACTGGAACTACAGGATCTCTGCTAGTTTTAGTCCAGTCATATCACTCGATTTCATTGATTGATTTTTGGGCCACGTCAGTGTAAAGTTTATTTATTTGAGTTAAATGCTAATTCTAATTCAGCTGCTGCAGTACAACCTTTTACTTGTGTTCTTTTAGATTTTAAAGTGGTTTTTGAGAGGGAGAAAATTAATAACACTTTACAATAAGGTCTCATTTGGTAACATTAGTTAATGCATTTGCTGACATGAACTAACAATAAGCAATGCATTTATGAATTTATTACAATTAATAAATTACAATATTGCATTATTATTCATGTTAGTTCACAGTGCATTAATGTTGATAATTTTTGATTTTAAAAAGCATTATTAAATGTTGAAATTAACATTAGCAAAGATGATTAAATACTGTATAAGTATTGTTTATCATTAGTAAACATTTTAGTATCACTGAGATACTACGGTATTATAGTTTTTATTAATATTTTGAATAGTTTTTGTATTGTTATATTTTCTGTTTTCATTTTAATTTGAAAGTTTTAGTAATTTTATTGTTTTGTCATTTTTATTAGCTTTTTAAAATATTTCTAAATAGTTTTCATTCATTTTATTTCATTTTATTAATTTCAGTTATTTTAGTGCATCTGAATGAAATGAGAATGAAGATTTAATTTAATTTCAGTTTATTTATTTTATTTCATTTTATGAAAAAAAAATATATATATATTTTAAAAATATTTACAAATAAAATATATTTTATTTAATAAATTGTTTTATGTTTTTAGTTTCAATTAACTATAATAATCCGAGCTAATGTAGTCAAGTAATTTTAACAAATTAAACCTTACTGTAAAATGTTACTAGGAAATTGTACTGGTTTAGGCTAATCTGTTGCAGTTTGTTAAAGCTGAACACATTTATTTATTTCTGGTATTGGTGGGAATGGGAGCGCGGCTGTGGATGTTCAGTCAGTAGGTCAGGATTTGTGCAGATGCAGGATTACATGATGCCTGAAAACTGCTGAGACTCAGTATTCAGCTGCACAGTTTGTACTCCAGTGACCTACTATGAGAATCATAAACCTGTCTGTCTCACACACACACACACACTCACACACGCACACGCACACGCACTCGCACACGCACACGCACACGCACACGCACTCACACTCACACACTCACACACACCCTCACACACACACACTCACACTGTCACTCACACACACACACACTCACTCACACACTCACACACACCCTCACACACACACACTCACACTGTCACTCACACACACACACACTCACTCACACACTCACACACACCCTCACACACACACACTCACACTGTCACTCACACACACACACACTCACTCACACACTCACACACACCCTCACACACACACACTCACACTGTCACTCACACACACACACACTCACTCACACACTCACACACACCCTCACACACACACACTCACACTGTCACTCACACACACACACACTCACTCACACACTCACACACACCCTCACACACACACACTCACACTGTCACTCACACACACACACACTCACTCACACACTCACACACACCCTCACACACACACACTCACACTGTCACTCACACACACACACACTCACTCACACACTCACACACACCCTCACACACACACACTCACACTGTCACTCACACACACACACACTCACTCACACACTCACACACACCCTCACACACACACACTCACACTGTCACTCACACACACACACACTCACTCACACACTCACACACACCCTCACACACACACACTCACACTGTCACTCACACACACACACACTCACTCACACACTCACACACACCCTCACACACACACACTCACACTGTCACTCACACACACACACACTCACTCACACACTCACACACACCCTCACACACACACACTCACACTGTCACTCACACACACACACACTCACTCACACACTCACACACACCCTCACACACACACACTCACACTGTCACTCACACACACACACACTCACTCACACACTCACACACACCCTCACACACACACACTCACACTGTCACTCACACACACACACACTCACTCACACACTCACACACACCCTCACACACACACACTCACACTGTCACTCACACACACACACACTCACTCACACACTCACACACACCCTCACACACACACACTCACACTGTCACTCACACACACACACACTCACTCACACACTCACACACACCCTCACACACACACACTCACACTGTCACTCACACACACACACACTCACTCACACACTCACACACACCCTCACACACACACACTCACACTGTCACTCACACACACACACACTCACGCACACGCACACGCACTCACACTCACACTCACACTCACACACACACTCACACTCACACGCAAACGCACACGCACACACACTATGATGCAATGCTTATGTCTGCATAACCTTATTACACAAAGAGAGACATTTTCTATGAGCCATTGCTACATGTAAATATACAAATGATTATCAGGACAATTTCAGTGGAAAGTTGAAAGATCCACATGTTTGTGTACAACCTGACGACCATTTTCATGCTTCAGTGGAAGAACAACATCCGAGTGTCAGATGATAGAGTCACATGATCAATGTCACCAATTTGATTAGTGACCTAGAAATAGTGCAGAGTCTGAAATATTTATTATTCATTGTAATCTTTATAGAAAGATGCATAATCTGTCTTTGTTTTAAATATATTCATTAAAAAATGTCAAAATCATAAAAAATATTATTTTTATACAACCAAAAATAGTTGAAAGTGAATGACAACGGAAGCCAGACACATTACATTTACAATTGGCTGTACCCACTCTTACGGGAAAATAAGGTGTATATATATATATATATATATATATATATATATATATTTCCATTAATATATTTCTATTAATTTTAGGGACATTAACCCTAAAAAAAACCTAAAATACAACCCCAATGCAGGGCAAAATTCAAAATATATGTAAAAATATATATTTTTTATAACATTTTGTCCAACTTTTCACAGATAAAAAAAAAATCTAATTCAAAATATGAATAAAAAACTATCTTAGTATCTCAGTTATACTCAAATAACACTTCATAGCTGTGCTCATATTCTCTCCACAATCAACATTTCATTCCCAAGTATAGTGTTTATTATGATTTAGCATGAAATAAGGAGGATCATGTACAGTTATTATCGCAGAGTAAACAAGACCAGCTGCACATTATCCATTACATAACGATTACAGCTTTTCAGTCTTTTATAACTCACACTCTTATATTGCAGTGTGAGGAGGATTAGAGCTCTCCGCTCGGCTGTGAGATGTTGACCCGGTTTGGGGCGTGAGGTGATGACCCTCTTTTGGAGTGTTACGGAACACTGACCCATTTCTGACCCAGCGCAGGTGAGAGGATTAGCGTCTAGGCCGGCCAGGAACACCTGTCTCGTTCCCCACAGGCCTTAATCCAGGAGAGGCCTCCTCAGCAACAAATTCAGATTGAATTTGGCATAATTTAGTGAGAGTGTGACACACACACGGCATGATGGCTTTCCACAGCGATGCCGAGCACACACGTGTGGAGTCAGTGACTCGGCCCTCCAGCGCTCATCTCTCTGGTAGACACTTGCATGCAGTGTGTGAGATCAGGAGCTGTGTTCTTTACTGCAGTGTCATGAGAGGTAATCGGACAGACTGCTGACTCTCACTATCACTAACACACACTTCAGACACACTCACACACCAAAACACAGGTAAGTCAACACACAGGCTGAAAGAAACTGACAAGAAATGGCAGGGTCGTATTTCACTCAGAAATCAAAACAAGAAGTTATATTATACTATAAAACAAGAAATTATATTAGAAAATAAAATCATATACAATGCAAAAGTCTGTAAATGTTTTGTTTTGTAAAGTCTGTATGTAAAGTAAAATGTCTGTAAAGTCTCTAATCTGCATACAGAGAGTTTACGGGGAAAATGTATTTGTCATGATAATAATCATAAAAACTATGCATGGTACAATGCAGTTACAAAACAATGTTACAATTTTTTTTTTACTATTACACACACACACACACACACAGAGACACACAGACACACACACACACACACAGAGACACACA